CAGTAACAGGGCTGTTAAAAAAGACAAGAATTTAAATGAAACCTGATCCAGAGGCTCAATTGGAGCTTTGATCAGGGCTCGCAGGACCAGCGTTAAACCCACTGTGGAAAACAAGTGGGCGTGAAAACAGGCCTACATCTCTGTACACCTTTTAGAAACCGCTTCATCAGCGGGTGATAAAAGCTGTTCTGTCTCCAAACCCTTTGTGGCAGGAAGAGATGGCTGCAATCGTACGTTAAAGCGTACTGAAAGCCAACTCCCTATCCATCAGCTGTTGTAGAAAAACAACACGCCGCTTAAAAGGCATGAGGTGGTCTCTAAACCTTCTCTGTGCACCAGCGCTGAAAAGCCGTCCCCTTGATGTGTACAGAACTGTGGTAGATGCAGCACGTGAATCTTGAATTGTGCACACTATCTCCTGAGGGAGACCCATCCTCTAAGTGGAACCGCTCAGCGGTCAGACCCACCGGTGTTGACCTATTTCTGGGTAACTCTTGGTCGCTCCTCCTGCCTGAAGGAGAGCATCCTTCCTCCATGACAGTTCCACGGCGACCCAACAACAGACGTTGCAGGCCTGGGAACCATAGTGCGTTCACACGCCGGGAGCCACCAAGGAGGGCTGTCAATCCCTCCTCTTGAACTCGGTTCATGGACCGTAAAAAACAGAGGAGGTGGGGGGGAAAGAAACGCGTAAAAAGCGTTTTGGGCCACCGACTGTGAGCAAATGCGTCCCCCCCCAGCGATGGATCGTCTCGCGGGCTCAGGGAAAACCGTAGTTGACATTGAGCGTTCTTCTCGCATCGCAAACAGGTCCACAGCTGCTTTGCCAACTTCTGCTGCGTCTGAAAAACATCAGATCCGGATGGAGGATCCGGTCCACGTAACGTGGGCCGCCCTTGGACGTCACATCAGAACACCGGATATGTAAACCGCTCTAATAAAAGCAGGTTTTGATGAACCCAACTCAGTAGCTTTCGCACAATGTGTAACATCTGGCTGAACGCACACCCTGATGGTTATGTACGCAGCAGTCATCATGATGTCTGTGTGAATCAACACGTGTTGATTCTGTAGCACAGGAGCAAGGTGTTGAATCACATTCAGTACTGTGCGACACTCCAAAACATTGATGTGGGCTGATGTGTAGTGGAGCCACAGCGCCCCTACTGCTTGAGATAGGTATGTCCCCCCCCCAGCCTGACAGCAACGTGTCCGTGAAGACTGACCCATGACGTGAGTCTGCTGAGGGGGACTCCCTCTGATAGAAAAACAAGGTGTTTCCCCAGAGTCGGAGGTCTGCTTCCACAGAGGAAAAGACAATGATCATCCGTCGTTGTTTTACTGGATCCACATGCGGACGTGCAAAAACACCTCTAGAGGCGTCTCATGTGATAAATGAGTTTTCATGGTGGTTGAATTTAATTCCACTCCAGAAAAACAAATGTCTGGGCCGGGAAAATCGAGCTTCCTTCCACTTATGGCGAAGCCCAGATTAACAGGTGTGATGTCAACACCTGATCCTGCATCAGCGCCTCCTGTCTGAAGTGACAGGATCCGCAGATCATCCAGGTAAAAACAAAAAACTCTCGTCTCTGTGTTTTAGGATGATCGGTATGCGTTCTCTGGATGTTAAACAACAGATCCAAGAACGGTCTCACCCCTCCGATCCGTGAGTAAAAACCCTCGTGTTTTCTCTCCCTTGGGGAACTCTGTAGATTACTTTTATCAGAAAACACTTGGATTTCTGCATTTAGGGAAGAGAATCAGTCTGATGATGATGACGGGACCGTTTATATAACTCCTCTGAATGGAGGGGTTCGGGTTGCAAACTGTAACTTGTACCATTTGCATAAACCCTGTCCATCCATCTGAAAAACGGCGAGCATGTTTTAGCCACTCTACGTAACGTTCGTGGATGAACGTGCGTTAATGATGCGTCATGTTTTGTACGGCTGTCAGCAGTCCGTCCCTCAACCGCCGTCATGCGTCGCGGGAATGTTTTCTGTGTGACCCCGGGCGAGACTTGAGCTGAAGGCGAAGCGTGTGACAGCTGATGACGCGGTGAGCTGCGCGTTTGACGTCGCTGTGCGAACGTTGAAAGGCGGAGGGCGTGACTTCATTTACACCGTGCTGTTGGAGTGAAGGCTGCTTAGCCCCGCGGGAGCACACGTTGTTCTCTGGAGGGACGCGCGCCGCTCTCGCTGGAGGGGCGCGCGCTAGAGGGAGGTGGGACTCATTACCGGATTCTTCGGCTGCTTCACGTTTAAGCTGCGGTGAGCTGCCGAAAGCTGAGAGAGAAGGACCCCCACCCGGACCAGCCTGCGGACCACATTCATACCGATGTGAGCTGGTTAGCGCCGGCAGCTGTGTGTGTGCGCCAGCATCAACGTAGCGCCGTTGGATGGAGGCTGTCCATCTTAGTGATCGACTCGTCATGTCAGAGCGGCGGTGAGTTAAAAGCCTGTTTAAGGACACCGGCTCATGTGGAGGCTGTTCCATCCCACGAGTGCGAGTTGACACCGCTTGAGTGAGGATCGTGCAGTTCTAGTTGGTAATGAGTTATTTTCGCTTACCGTTGTGCCGTGATCGACTCGTCATGTCAGAGCGGCGGTGAGTTAAAAACCTGTTTAAGGACACCGGCTCATGTGGAGGCTGTTCTGTGATCGACTCGTCATGTCTTAGAGCGACGGTGAGTTAAAAAACCTTTATTTAAGGACACCGGCTCGTGTGTGGGGCTGTTTCATCCCACGGGTACGAGTTGACATCACTTGGGTGAAAAACGTGCAGCCCGGGATTATAACGAGTTATTTTCACTTACCATCGTGCCCTGTAAGCGATTAATAATGTCTTGGAGCGGCGGTGAGTTTAAAAAGCCTTATAAAGGACACCGGCTCTTATGTGTGCGGCCGCTGTGAGCTCATCCGGGCTTACAGACTGGCTAAAAAACAGACACTTGATCATTAATGATGATTTATTTCAACTTTCGTGTCACTTTTACACACACCCTCCGGAGACCGTCATTTTGAGAGCTTTCTCTCTCATGAGCTCTGCGATTGTTTGCCCAGAGCGCTGTCTTGCAGGCGAACTCTGGGGAAACGCTGAGCTGCAGGCTGCCGGAGTGCAGAGGGCTGGATTCTGACGGGCGGGGCTGGTGGTGGAACTCAGCGAGAGCCGCGGCCGTGGAAAAGTCGAAGCTTGCTCGCGACGGTCCCTCCAGCGGGACAGGGTGGGCCGCGCGGCTTGATGAGGTGGTGCACAGCCTCTGGCACCTCCTCCGACTGTTTCACTTCGCCAGCATGGTTTGAAGCTGCTCTGAACAGCGCGTCCGCGATGTTTCATCAGGTCTTGTGCAGATTCTCCGGCAGCGAGGGGAGTAACGAAGCCAGGTGGGTCGTTGGGTCGTCGTCCTCCACGCTGCAGTCCTCGACAGGCAAACCGTGGGAGAGGCACACATGTTGAGCTGGCGTCAGCTGCCTGACAGAGGGAGTTCTTTGTCTCCAAGGCAGGTCTGCGGCCTTCAATCCCTTGGACATGCTATGTGCTAGCAGCGCGCGTTGTTGCTAACTGCGGCTGCCTGAAAAACACATTGGTGGGCTCGATTGGAGAGCGTGTTCGCCGTCTGGTTCGTGTTCCTCCGGAGGGACGGGACGCTGCTCCGGCCTGGGCAGCTTCGCTCCGGAAGCTTCCGCGAGGCTTGGCTCCAGGAGGGGTTACCGAGGAATAGCCCCGCTCGGTGAATCCCTCAACTCTGGTGATGGGAGCGGACTGGGGACCGACTCCTCTAATCTACCAGGAAAGAACCGTCTGCGGCCTCGCCCGTGGAACGTCCTGTTGGAACGTGAGGCCGTATGGATCAAGACGGTGAGCCACAGTGGAGCCCAGTGAAAAACAACCTTCCCGCCGATCATCCGAACTGGCGGGAAAAGGCGAGGGACGTAGAAAAAAGGGGTCCCTTCATGTCAGCCTCCTCCCGGGTTCCGCCGGGCAACCCCTGAGGGCGCCGTCGGCCGGGAGCGGTGTGATCGCCGATGCGAAACGAGGTGGGATGGGGTGAGCATTCACTCAGCCCCCCTCCACCTACACTACGCTACCCGGGAGGGAATGAGCAGCGGGGGCTGCAGCTGAGCGCGCCTTGCCCCGGAGGAACCATCCGGTTCGCCCCGAGGGTCGGCGATAAGAGGAAAAAACACAAGATGGCGTTGTCCAGCGTGTAGTGACCTGTCACTGGGAAATGTTCCACGACGCTTACCTTGGAATAAGACTGCTGTCATCTTCTCCTCGGGGAGGAGAACTCACCGGACGACCGGAGGTCGACTGCCGGGCCCAGCATCCTTCACAAGGTTGGTCATTTACACAACTTATCTTCTTTGTTCTTCTGACAGTGCTATATTAGCTCGCTGAAGAAAAAATGGGAGCCGATTTCCCGCTCTTAACGTAATTTATACGGACCGGGTAGGGCCCACACAGCAGGTGGGCGTGGACTAATTTTTTTCAGTGCTTATGCTCTGCATAACGGGATAAACCCACTAAAGCGAAGGCCTTAAAGGGCGAAGCTTATATGACATAGAACAATAGCTTTCATTCGGTCAGTTTTATAGGCTTTAGGCTAAATTTTGTGCAGCAGTAGCTGATAGTCATCCTTTATAAAGAATCCAAACCTGAACACGCATCACAAATCTCACCTGAGATTGAATATGGTCATTTATAAAATTATATCAAAACAAGTATAAGTACACCCTTCTCATCCCAAAATGATCTCTGTCTAAATCTCTGCTGTGACAGTGGGTATAGGCTAAATGCAATCCTTCAAGGAAGGTCAGACTTTCATTTAATCAATTTGACTGATTTCCTGAGAAGCATTCAGCTGATAAGAAAAACACAAATCTCATCTCTGCTTTATACTGTCGTTCACACAGCTCCTCCTCTGGTCCACCTCCTTCACTTGGTGTTTTGGTGCATTATTGAATTAGTTTTTCAGCTGATTGATCTCTCAAAGGAAAATGGCCACCAGACCACCAAAAGACAGGTATGTTCAAGAACAACACAAGTTATTCTAATATATTTACAGGCATATTACATAAAATATATTTGAGATAAAGTCGTTGGTAACAGTCAGTACTGATTAATGTTTTAAATTTAAAGTTTCAGACAAATTCTGCAATAAAATGTTTGTTTGTTTGTTTGGTTGGTTGGTTGGTTGATTTGTTTATTTGTTTGTTGGTTGGTTTGTTTATTGGTTTGTTGGTTGGCTTGTTGGTTGGTTGGTTGGTTTGTTGGTTTGTTTATTGGTTTGTTGGTGCGTTACAAATTAAATTCATTATTATTTAATGAAAAGTGCGTTACAAATTAAATTCATTATTATTTAATGAAAAGTGCGTTACAAATTAAATTCATTATTATTATTATTATTGTTTGTTTATTGTTTTTTTATTGGTTTGTTGGTTTGTTCATTGGTTTGTTCAATGGTGTGTTGGTTGGTTTGTTTATTGTTTTTTTATTGGTTTGTTGATTTGTTTATTGGTTTGTTGGTTTGTTGGTTTCTTCATTGGTTTGTTGGTTGGTTGGTTTGTTTATTGGTTTGTTGGTTGGTTGGTTGTTTTGTTGGTTTGTTTATTGGTTGGTTTGTTGGTTTATTGGTTTGTTGGTTGTTGGTATGTTGGTTTGCTTATTGGTTTGTTGGTTGGTTTATTGGTTTGTTTATTGGTTTGTTGGTTGGTATGTTGGTTTGCTTATTGGTTTGTTGGTTGGTTTATTGGTTTGTTGGTTGGTTTATTGGTTTGTTGGTTGGTTATTTATTGGTTTGTTTATTGGTTTGTTGGTTGGTTGGTTGGTTGGTTTATTGGTTTGTTGGTTGTTTGGTTGGTTGGTTTATTTGTTTATTGGTTGGTTTGTTGGTTTGTTTATTGGTTTGTTGGTTGGTTGGTTTGTTGGTTTGTTTATTGGTTTGTTGGTTTATTGGTTGGTTGGTTTATTGGTTGGTTGGTTTATTGGTTGGTTTGTTGGTTGGTTTATTGGTTTGTTGGTTGGTTCGTCGAAGATAAGCATTATCTGCAACTAAAATAGAAACTTTGTGATAAATACAGCAACCGTCGTCACACAAAACCATTGACACTTTCAAACTAAATTCATGTTTTTGTCCTCCTGCAGGTATTTTGCTGTCTGGATGATCCTATTCATGCTTGGTTTGGGAACCCTGCTGCCCTGGAACTTCTTCATGACTGCTTCCAAAGTACAGCACCACTTCGGGTTTCTCAATACATCATCTAATTTTCAGGATAAACTTTAATTTTAAAGGGAAATATAAAAAAATATTCAAAGAGTTACTACCAAAAAAGAAAAAAAGTGGTGGTGGGGATGACAGTAGGTAGCAAATATTCCTTGTTCATTCCTTTTGTTTTCCACTGGAATTTAATTAGATTTTTTTTTATTTCATCTTGAGGAATATTTCAGTACAAAATTATCCCAGAATTGACCCCAGAATCACTCTAACAATTTTCAGTATTAAGAGCTACCACCATGCAAAAGTCATCATGAAGACCAAGGAAGTCTCCACCCATGTCAGAGACAAACTGTGAAACAGTACTGGTCAGGAATGGGTTATAAAAATATCCCAGAACCTCCCACAGAGCTCCATTAAATACATTACAATAGGAAAAGGAAAGATGATGCTGCTACAGCCTGCCAGGAGAGGGTTGTCCACCAAAACTGTCAGAGCATGTATGGGGGGCATTAAGCAGAGAAAGATCCCAGAGGGGAAAGATAACCCTGATGTAGCTGGGAGATGGAGGACCTGTCCATCAGACCACTAGAAACTGCATAGAACTGAACTTCCTTGCTCAATGACATGAAAAAGATGGAATAAATGAAAAAAAGGTAGACTGGAATATTTTTCCACAAACACGTGGAAGAAGGTGCATCAATCAGATGAAGTCAAACAAAAGCATTTTAGGCAAACAAAGACAGCATTATGTCTGGTTTAGCACCTCTTGTCATGCTGAGAACACCATCCCCTCAGTGAAGCACAGCGGTGGCAGCATCATGCTGTGAGGATGGTTTTCATCATCAGAGACTGGGAAACTGTTCAGAGTTAAAACAAAGGCGCATGGAGCAAAATACAGAAATTATATTTGGAGGATATGCTGGGAAAGATTCTCTGTCATCTAGATCATGATAAATCCAAAAAAGGGTTAAAACAACAACAAGTGGACTTCTGTTCTAAAGCTGAAGACGTTTCACTTCCCATCTCGGAGGCTTTATCAATTCAAAAATATCTGGAGTGTGTGAAGTTGCCGGCTTTATAGACCTGCATGAGTACATAACATCCAAGTCTATAACGAGACCTCTTGTGATTATGGCAGTAATAAGAGTTAACCAGTTTGGCTTGATTTCTGCTTCTTTGTTGGAGAAACTTTGCACTGGCACATTCTATGTTTTAATTTTGTGTCTCTTTTTGGTACTTAGGCGCTGTTTTAAAAACGATGTGTTCACTGACGTTTTGATCCCATCTCTGCAGTACTTTAGGGGTCGTCTGAAAGAATCCGTGTCCTCGGAGACTTCAACTAATCAGACGGATGCAGCAGATGAACATCACAACATTCTTGATGCCAAATTTAACAACGTGATGACACTCTGTGCAATGTTGCCTCTGCTGCTCTGCACTTGCCTCAATTCTTTCCTGCATTCTCTGTAAGTACTACACCTGAAGTACTGCACCACAGGTCAATCCAGTTTATGCTATGGTGACCTAGCTTGTCACATATAGTTTTCTTTTTGTGATAATGAAAACTCAACAAGTAAAAAAAAAATCTAAGAATAAAATATACAACAATAAACCCTGGGCCATTAGCCATAACTTGATTTCCTTCCTGTTGATGTGTCAGCATCTCTCAGCGTCTGCGCGTGATGGGAAGTCTGCTCGTCATTATGTTTGTCTTCAGCGTTACGGCCGTTCTCGTCAAAATTCCCATGGAGCCGCTGCTGTTCTTTTCTGTAACCATGGTGAAGATCATCATCATCAACTGTGAGCATGTTCATTTATTTGCGTGTTGGTTTGTTGCTGCATTCAAAGACTGTTGCAGACTAATCCTTGCCTTCTTATTTAAAACCACTTCACAAACAAAAGTAAAAAGTACTATACCAATAAATTAAAAACTAAAATTTGACGTCTGAAGCTGATGTAAGCAAAACTAAATAAAAAAATTTAAAGTCTAACTTTCCAAGAAGGAATCCCCTGCTGCTGCACATTTTGTGCATTACAATGAGGAACTGAAAACATGGTCAGCTGACCTGAGACTGAAGATTGTTACCCATAGACACCAATGACCTGCTGCCTTTGTGCAGGCTAAATGATAAAGTACCCTCTGAAAGTTTGCTAGAAGATCAACAAAGTCCATGCTCAATAATCCAGGTATACAATCCAACAATTTTCAGTCAGGTCATCTGGACAGTTTCTCTTTTTTTGTGTGTGCTGAAACGTTTCACCTTCCATCCAGAAGGCTTCATCAGTCAAGGAAACACACAACACAAAACTGATTCTTCCCCCAACAGCTTACTCCAAAGTGGAACAAACCAGTTATGTTGGTGCTAAGATGGTCTCTTTTGCACGCCCACTCCTCCGGTGCCAGCCCTCTTCCTCATCGACAGTCATGTCAAACTGGTTCAAAACTAACAAAGTCCATGATGTCCAGATGACCTGACTGAAAATTGTTGGTTTGCTAGAAGATGTGAATGCAGCATTGCTAAGTATCCCTACTGGCACCATGACACCGACCAATAAACTGCTATAGGTGGTCAGAATATACATATTCACACTCACAAAATCAGTGACAGGAACTGAACCACACATGCACTTTTCATTTTTCCTATTCTGTAATAATTTCTATACATTTTTCTTGCCAGACAATCAATTGCATTTTATTGCTGCTTTAACAATCTATGTTCCCATGGCAAATATGGTAAATGGACTGTACTTATATAGCACTTTTCTATCTTATCAAGATACAACACAATCTGTGCCCTCTTTTACCCATCCACACTGCACTCTACTATATCTACTGTATACAAATAATAATCAGAGCTTTATCACATTCATACACTGATGGGACACATCAGAGACAATGAGGGGTTCCGTGTCTTGCCCAGGGACACTTCAGCAGGTAACTGCTGGTAGAATCGAACCCCCAACTCTTGCATTGGAGGACGACTGCTCTAACCACTCAGCCACAGCCGCCCCGAACATAGCATTAGCATTTTAATTAAGCTACATTTTTAATAGCACACAGAACAGGAATTTGAACTACCTCTCCACCACAGTTTTACTGTTACTGTACTGCAAATGTCCTGTGTTGCACATGTTTGCACTAGTGCACTTTATGTATTCTTGTGTGGTTAGTATACGTTTGTCTTGTATTTTTGCACATGCTTAATTTATTTAAGCCAGTAAAGATGGTCTCACAATGTTGCTGTCATGGTCTAAGTTTGATGATACCACCAGACAATGCCTCGCTGAAAAAGAGGACATCCTCACACAATAGAGATAATAATTTTCTACCCTTTTTCATTCATTCAACCTTTACAGTTAATTCCATTGAACTTCAGGGACTCACCCTGCTCAACTTCTCTAGATGCTCTCGCATAAAACCCCTTAAGAAGAACCACTGGTTGAAATGGAGATCCAACCAATAATCTCAAAGGTGGAGAAAGCCATGAAACAACTAAGCTAATGAAAGCCCAAAGTGCAGACTACCTAATAACTCAAGCACTAAAAGCTGGTGGTCAACAACCCATAGAGTCTAAAGACTTGTTTTAGCTATCTGGAAGAAAGAAAAGATACCTCAAGACATCAAATATGATCACATTGTGATTACCATCCATCCATCCATCCATCCATCCATCCATCCATCCATCCCTCAGCTTCTGCATGCTCCGAAGTCTGATGGCAGGAGCAGCAGCTTGAGCAGGGAGGCCCAGACATCTCTTTCCTCAGCCGCCTCTTCCATCTTTTTGGGGAGTTGTTCCCAGGCCAGCCTCCTGGACTTCAAAGATGGTCACATTGTAACACTATTATTAATCATTTTTGTTTCACGTGGCAACTACAGAAAAATCACACTTCTACCAACTAGACTACAGAAAGTACAAATCTACATCTGCCCTTTGTTTTATCGTATTTTTCAGAATATAAGGCGCACTTAAAATCCTTTAATTTTCTCAAAAATCAACAGTGAGCCTTATAATCAGGTGCGCCTTATGCGTTAATTCTGGTTGTGTTTACTGACCTCGAACTAATTTTAGGTGGTTATTGTGAACGAGTTGAATAAAGTTTGACTTATCTGATTGTTTTGTTTTGCGTAATGCGCCTTTTAGTCTGAAAAATACGGTATTTGTTAAAATAAATAAGTTACTATTTCACTTTGAACTCCTCGTGTCTGTCTGCATCTGATCTAACACCGACCACGACAGATTGATCCCTCGCACTTTTTGTTCTTAGAAAGTATTGAGTTGCTTTTTGGTAGATGTTACTAACGTGCAGGTGTAAACCCATTAGACTCAAACTGGAATTCACCTTATATTCATAAATCCAAACATATGGTGTCAAGAGTGAAATTTATCTTTAATATTTTTAACTATTGACTTGTAATATTATTTATTTATTTATTTATTTATTTATTCATTGGAAATTGCTCTGGAGCAGGTTCTGATTTCAGACCATTATTATTACCATAATGAGGGGAAATAAATTAAGTTTTCTTATAGAACAGGTTTCATGAAGTTCTGTTTGTTTGTTGTTTCATGTTTACAGCTTTTGGGGCGATGTTGCAGGGCAGTCTCTTTGGAATGGCTGGTTTGCTGCCGGCTTTGTACACGACTCCCATCATGAGTGGTCAGGGACTCGCTGGAACCTTTGCAGCCTTCGCCATGATCTGCGCCATTGCAAGTCTGAAAATAACCTGTCAATACTCAATCAATAACTAACCAAAATGTTAAGCTTATTCAATAACTAATGTATACTTTAAGAGTATCTGTTATTTTAGACATTAAAACTTTTTTTATCTGCAATGTTCACATGAAAGTGTTTTAAATAGAGCTACGGTCAACATTCAGCCAAACTGGTCATGATCAGTGATTGGAAGATCAATGCTCAAAGATTTTACTTATTTCCAATCACTGAAACCAATGAGGTGGCACGGTGGCTCAGTTGGAAGAGCTGCTGACTCTCAGCAAGAAGGTCACCGGATCAAATCCCGGGCGGGGACTTTTCTGGGTGGAGTTTGCATGTTCTCTCCGTGCATGGGTTTTCTCCGGGTACTCCAGTTTCCTCATACAGACCAAAAACATGCATGTTAGACTGATTGGTAACTCTGAATTGTCTCTAGGTGTGAGTGAGAGAGTGAATGGTTGTTTGTCTCGTTTGTCTCTATGTGGCCCTGTGATGGACTGGAGACCTGTCCAAGATGTCCCTCGCCTCTTGCACAGTGACTAATGGACACAAGCACCAATGACCCCCATGACCTGAAAAGGAAGAAGCGGGTAAAAGATAATGGATGGATGGATGAAGCCAATGAATGAAGGTAGAGGTACAAAGTATTTTAGCGCTATTATCAGTGCCTCTAACACTAAATCATATTATTTGTCATTTATTAGGTTTTGAGAAGTAGCGTATGAGGACCACGGGCAAAATACAGTACAGCAATGCTCAAGATTGTTATATTGCACTCAAAGCATGCTGACAGTTAGGAGACCAGACACACTTAATGTTTGAGCTCACAAGGTCACTGAGGGAAGCAGCAACAGTGTAAAAGAGATTAAAGAAACTCTAACAACCCGTATTTCCAAAAATAATGCTGTGCTCATGCCAAACAGTGGGATAACCTTTGTTTTTGAGTCCACGTGTCCACTGCCCACCAAATATCAACGATAAGCAACTGGGGCACGTCCAAACTAACATTTTGAGAGTTACAATTAAAATGGATTCAGCGAGAGCATTAAAGGAAATAGCATTAAGTTTCTGCCTATAGTTTCTAAAGTTTAAGTTCATGATCAAGTTTCTTTTCTCGCTAGATGTGGAGTTGAACCTTTAACGCAATTTCACAGATATCCATCCATCCATCCGTTCATCCATCCATTATCTTCTGCTTTTTCCAAAGTCGGGTCATGGGGCAGAAACTTGAACAGGAACAGTCACGCCTTCCAGGTCTTCTGAGAGGACTCCAAGGCATTCCCAGACCAACTGAGAAGACATGGTCTCTCCAGTTTGTCCTGGGTCTTCCCTGGGGTCTCCTACCGGTGGGACATGCCTGAAGCCCTTCTCTAGGGAGGCGCTCAGGGAGAATCCTTATCAGATGCCTGAACCACCTCATCTGGCTCCTCTTGATGTGGAGGAGCAGCGGTTCTACTCCAAAACTCTCCCAGATAAATGAACTTCTCACCCTGTCTCTAAGGGAGAGTCCAGTCACCCTGCGGAGGAAACTCATTTCAACAGCCTGTATCCACGATCTTGTTCTTTTGGTCACTACCCAGAGTTCGTGTCCATAGGTGAGGGTAGGAACGTAGACCAAGCGAACTTCACTTTACAGCTCAGCTCCCTCTTCACCATAATGGACCGGCACAGAGTCTGCAATACTACAGACACTGCACCAACCAGTCTGTCAATTTCACACTCCATTCTTCCCTCCCTCATTAACGAAACCTCAAGATACTTGAACTCTTGCACTTGAGGAAGAACGTCACACTGGACCTGAAGAGAGCAATCCACCCTTTTCCGACTGAAGACCATGGCCTCAGATTTGGAGGTGCTGATTCTCATCCCAGCTGCTTCACACTCGGCTGCAAACCACTCCAGTGAGAGCTGAAGATCACGGCACGATTATGCCAACAGGACCACATCATCTGCAAAGAGCAGAGATGTAATCCCGCCACCGAACCGGTGGTTCAATTCCCCAGACCAACAACATCAAAATGTGGGTGGAAAAGGTGAAACACCCACCTTTGCCCTCATTTGCCCCGCTCTGGGCCCATGGGCAAAGCCCTTAACACCCCAGCTGCTCCCCGGGCACCCTAATGGCAGCCCACTGCTTCACTTGTGTTGTCTCACATGTGCAATGGGAAAAATGCAGATAATTAATTTAGCCATTGGTGATAAATAGAGTACAATAAATAAATAAATAAAACATCAGAGCACAGATTTTATCCATCATTTTTTGTCATCTCCCCCCCCCCCCCATTTATTTTTCATTTTTACTTCATTCCGTCTCACCATTCTTTCAGTGCTTCTTTCCCTCGTCATTTCTTTATTCCCTTCTTTAATCCTTTTTTTCCTTTGTTCTTCTGTTCATGCAGGCGGTTCTGAACTTGATGATGCAGCGTTTGGTTATTTCATCACAGCCTGTGTTGTTATTCTTCTCTCTGTTCTGTCCTACATCATGCTGCCTAAACTGGTAAACTCTGACACTCGGTAGATGTTGACCCTGACTGAGAAATCAGACTGTCCAGTCTTGTAGAACTTAATTTGCTTCAGTAGAACGTGTTGTCAGTATTTTTCTACCTTATGGTTTATGGGTGTAGTCGATCAGTATGAAAAAGTTTATGTATCTGTGATTTTAGGAGTTCTTCAAGTTTTACCAAGAGAAGAACAACAAACAGAGTTTAGATGATGAACAGAACGTAGTCAATTTGATGAACTCAGGTAAGAATCCGTTCAGACTGTTGAGAGCTCATGTTGTCACTCGTGACCGACTGGTTGATAGAGCAAAACAAAAAAAAAAACTCACATGAGTGATGATGTTGTTTTTCAGGGATTAAAGATGCAGCCATTGATCAGAAGGACCAGCAAATCTCCATGATGAAAATCTTTAAGAAGGTATGACTAAAATCTAAATCATTACTATTCATTCTTATGGATTCTTCACAAGAGTCAGAGATTTTATTGGGAGTTGTGCATCACTGTTCCATCCATCCATCCATCCATCATCTTCTGCTTGTTCCGAAGTCGGGTCACGGGGGCAGCAGCTTGAGCAGGGAGGCCCAGACATTTCTTTCCACAGCCAGCTCTTCCAGCTCTTCTGGGAGGAGGTGTTCCCAGGCCATCTGAGTCCTGGTTGGTCTGGGAGGTTTAAGTGCAACACTTGTGTCGGAGTTCACGCACCTGTTGATCATTGTTGCACCAGCAGCCCAGAACACTGATATGAGTTTTATCACACTTGCCTGGTCCTTTCTCTGCTCCTCCGATCCTCTCCAGCTGGCCTCCACCTGCACGAGCTGCGCCTTGTGCTCCTCCTCCTCAGGTGGTGGAGGAGTTGGTGATCTTCAGTGGCAGCTGGTTTAAAAAAAATCTGCCTGCTTCTGTTCCTCTTCTTTAGAAAAAACATTTTCCTTTTTTATGAACACCGCTCTCTAACTTCTTACCTCAACATGTTGACAGCTGTCAGTCCATCAGGAAAGGACACACCCCAAAACTATCAATACACATTTTGATTGGTCAGCTCTTGGACCGTTGTCCAATCAGCTTACGGGCGTCACTTTTAATTTGGATCCGTTAGCAGCAACAAACGTGCATCTGAAGTGATCGATAAAGAACCTGAGAAGTTACGAAACGATGGAATTTTTTCAGCTCGTCATGAGACCTCAAAACAATACCCCCCCCCCCCAAAAAAAACCAACAAAAAACAAAAAAACTGTAGGCCCCTGACCATCAGCCCAGGTAAGCCTGTGCATTAAGGCAGCCCAGATCAAGAGTATGGTACTATTACAAACATAAACAATAAGTACTGGTTGCTTTACAGTCAGAGTCAGCTTTAATGGATTATTAACTTAGTGTGTGTTTGTGTGTGTGACCTTTGACCTCCAGATATGGATATTGGCTGTATCAGTTTGCTTCACCTTCACCATCACCATCGGCACGTTTCCTGCCATCACGGCCGACACCCAATCCACTCTCGGTGCCGGAGGCTCCTGGGGTCAGTTGGGGTCACCTCTGTCTGTCTGTGGTGCTCGGTGGTTACACAGTTGTTGACCTTCACGTGACAGGGAAGAAATACGTTTGATTATCTGTATTTGATTCACAGAGCTGTACTTCATCCCGGTCTGCTGCTTTCTACTCTTTAACTTGTGCGACTGGTGTGGGCGGAGCCTAACAGCCGTTTACATGTGGGTGAGTTTCAGACCAGTCAGTGAGCTTCAAAACTCCAACCCCGAACAGCATCTTGATTGTTTCTGGTCATCCTCCAGGATTCTGAAATGTTTTATGGCAGCATGATGGCTTAATGGTTAGCCCTGTTGCTTCACAGCAAGAAGATCCTGAGTTCAATCCCCCTGGTTAGGGTCTTTCTGTGTGGAGTTTGCATGCTCTCCTCGTGTTGCGTGGGTGCCTTCAGGCCCAGGCCTCCTGTAGAAGTCCTCCCTATCGGTCATCTCAGTGGGATTTTCCTGATGAAATAAAAGCTAAAAATAAATTGATGACCAAGAACTAAAGTCTGAACTAATCGTTTGTTTGCGTTGCAGCCCAGCAAAGACAGCCTGATACTTCCTGTGTCCATCTGTTGTCGGCTGCTCTTCGTTCCTCTCTTCATGTTGTGTAACGTTCAGCCTCGTGTTCATCTGCCCATCTTTTTCCACCACGACGCTTTCTTCATCGTCTTCATGATCCTGTTCGCCTTCAGTAATGGATATCTGGCGAGCCTCTGCATGTGCTACGGACCAAAGTAAGAAACCATCAGATACCAAAACAAGGACCTAGCAGACGTTAGTTAGGACCCAACAGAACCACAACACCTTAAATGTCCAAGACAGGGACTCCGAAGTTTTATCTGCTGTGTGAGCCCATGAACATCAGTGTCCTGAATAACAACAATGATTCTTCTTATTATTATATAGTCCTTTATTATTATACATAGTTATACCAAAATGTTCCAAATGACTTTCGGGCTTTATCTGAGGCAGTTGTGATTTCAGACAAGAGCAGATCTGAACATGTGGTAAATCTGTAAATAGGTTTACGACAAACTTCCCAATGTTAAATAAAAAAAAAAAAAGCATTCTCTAACACAATTTGTCGTTCTGCAGGAATGTTCTTCCCCATGAAGCAGAAACAGCTGGAACCATCATGGCCTTCTTCCTGGCTCTGGGTTTGGCTTCAGGAGCTGCTGTTTCCTTCTTGTTCAGAGCCCTGGTCTAACTAGTCCAACTGGTTTACTGAACAGTTCTGCTGCTACAGATTTATTTATGGAGACTGTTTTTTTTTTAAAGCCTTCTTTGTTGGAACTGTACTTTTCATCTGTCATTTGTCCAAATGTTTTTACTGTCAACACTTCAGATGACGATCGGCCTGAAAGGCCAACAGACGGACAGAACCATGTCTCGATAATTGTGACACTGTAAAACATTTTCTCCTGACTCAAACTTGGACTTTCCTTTGGTAAAGTTGAATGTGCTGATGGTAAAAAAAAAAAATAATTCTGAGAAATGTTCTGTTCAAAGATTCATCCATTCGAAGTTCTTATCAACTCAGGTATTCATCAATAAAATGACAGCAGTGTTGACTATCCTGATGCATGCTCAGTATAAATCAAGGTTAAGTCAGGTCCTCTGGACAGATTCTTCTCTTTGAAACATTTCGTCTTTTATCCAAACAACTTCTTCCCCAGGTGCTTACATAACTGCCCTCTACTCCACCTGGGTGCATCTCAGGTGTGATGGGTGAAATGCAGAGAACTAATTTCATCATTGTATGGGAACAGATGATGATGATAACACATAGCACTTCTACTCAGTCTGAGGAGCTGCAACAAACTCAGTCTTATAAATAGCACCTTCTCATGGTGGATCAACCAGTTTTCTGGTGACATCCAGAACTAGTTGTTCACATATCCTGATGCATGCCCAATAATCCAGGTAGAAAAATCTAAAAAAGTTAAGTCTGGTCTGGTCCGCTGGAAATTCAAATTAATTTTTTGAATGTCCAGAGGACCAGACTTAACTTTTTTAGACAGCTGTTCACATGTAAAAAAAAAAGGACTGAGGGACAGAGTTTTGTCTCTAGACAAGATCTGTCTGAACAGAACCGGATCCATTCAATATGGTCTCCTAGGAACGATTTTAAGTGGCACCCCCGTGTATTTCTGTACATTTCTCTCACTCAAGAAATCAAAAAGCTTTGTCTTGAATATTAACTAGAACAACAAACTGTGCCACCACCTCCTTAACCTCACTTCACCTGCTGCAGCTATAGGAAGCTGCTTTTACTCTGAAGGCTGTAACAGGAAGCTGAATTAGTGTAAAAACGGGACCATTATAGATAAACACTGTTCCCAGACCTCAAGCACTTTGTACATGTCAGCAAAATGCAGACCTTCCTAGCAATAGTGACTGTCATGGCTGTGTATATTCCACCCAACACCAACATAAACAATGCACTATTTCCTGGTGAGTGCAATAAATGAACAGAAGCAAGTGCACCCACAGGGTGTTCACATAATTGCAGATTATTTTAATAAGGCTAACCTGAAAAATGTACAGTACTGTATACTTGTGTATATGTTTGCACTGTGACAAGGAGTTGTTTTTAATCTAATTTTCAATTCAATTCAATTCAAAAATTATTAATCCCAGAGGGAAATTATATAAACAGGGAAATTATATCACATCACATTATATTACATGGGTACAGTGACAATAAAAATCATTCATTCATTCAACATCAACAGGACTCTAAGAGTCTTCATCAGGAATGCAAAAGAAATGTGGAAGATGACTCTCAGGACCTATGTAAAAAGCCAGCCATATAAAAGCAGAACAATCATCAGTTACCTCCTCTACATGGATGGCATCAAGATGTATGGCAAAAAAAATGAGTGAGACGTTGACTCACTGATCCACCTTACCAGGACACACAGCAAGTACATTGGCATGTCATTGAGACTGGATAAATGCAGCCGACTGATATGCAAGAGAGGCAAAGCGATCACAATTGAAGAGGTTAATCAGCAGTTACAAATACTTTGGAATAAATCCCACAGGCAAATGGCAATCATGATGAGGCTGCAAGAAAGTCAGCCACAACCAAGAACTTACAGAGAGTAAGGCAGGTCCTGAAGATCCAGCAGAATGGCAAGAACAAAGTCCAAGCCATCACCACATATGCAGTATCCATCATCAGATACCCAGCTGGTATAAGAGCCTGGACAAAAGAGGAGGTAGAAGCTGCTGACATAAAGAGTCAAAAGTTCCTCACAATGCATGGAAGGTTTCACATCAAGTCCAGCACCCTGAGAACTAGTGAGTGTCAAAGCCACTTTACAAGATGAAACCGCAGAGATCCTGGAGTTCATCAGTAGAACCCCATCTGGAATAGTATACATGAACATCTGTAATAATACACAGGGACATCTGGAATAGTATACATGAACATCTAGAATAAGGGCCACTGG